CCGGAACGATCAAAAAGGTCTAGATAGAGCTGGAATTAGGGCGAAATAGCCTTAATAGGTCGTATGAATAAAAGCGTTTACTTTACTTTTCCCGTAAGAAAAGCACGGGAAAGTAAAGTAAACTCTTTTTATTCATACGGCCCAATGACTTTTCTCGATGATTTCTAGGAATTCAAGCCACGTCTACATAAAGCAACATATCCATCGAGTGGGGGAAGTCTTCCCCTACTCGATGTTGATGTCTATTTGCCAGGGAGAGCCATGGCTTTCAAGAAATCATCGAGAGAAGTCATTTTTTTACAAAAGCTGTTTCGCCCTAATTCCAGCTCTATCTAGAAGTATTCACTCAAATTAAAAGTCACCCGAAGTAAACACAAAATTGCGGGTTGCCAAACCTTGCAGACAAAATAACTTAGTTAGCCGTGCAACCAGATTTACTTTTATTCTCTTCGCGCGTTTCTTATAAAACATTGTCTCTGATTGTAATATCCCCTGAATCCAGTGCATTAATTACAGGTATACCTCGATATAACGTAACTGTCACTTTTGACTTCCATCGCCGATTTCTCGCAAACGATCATTCAAACAAGCAAAGTAATAACACCATCGGACATATGAGATAATCCCCCATCTGTTGGTAATATTAACTTATATGATTCAATTTTTACTAACGAGATATTGACGATGGAAGTCAAAAGTGACAGTTACGTTATATTGAGGTATACATACCTGTATTGCCTAATTCTATGACCATTTTCCAAAAACCATCATTCAAAAAGATAAAAAAAAAGTAAAGTTATGAGTGGAGGGTGAGCCAAGACTTTGAGAATTCGCCAAATTTCTACTGCACTTTTCAAAAAATCCCAAGGGGTCGTCACTCTACACACTTATTTTTCGCCAACTCGGTCTGTGAGAATAAAGTGATGGAATCCGGACCAAGATGGTGCTTCAAAGGCAGCTCGGTTGGAGAAACTAATACCGGATAAACTAATTCGACCGGAGGATCCCCTCGTGAAGCTCGGGGAAACAGCATCGAAACTCATCTGATAGGATTTCGAAATCTACAGTCGCCGGGGAAATGTACCGCTCACGCTATCGGATACGGGAAAAGATCTTCCGGGGATCGAAATCAGCTGCGAAGATCAACGGCAGCGAACCAAGATAAAGCAGATGTACTTATGGAGGTGATCAAGGAAACAGGACGAAGCGGTAAGGTTGCTTTCATCGGCGGTGTTTGAAGATGATGACACCAGACCTACCACGAGACCAGAATAAACTGAGTTCACTTTTAAATTTACCTCAAATATTTTTGTTGCGACGGTAATTTTTTCTGCGTGAGGGAGGTGAGAAAGGGCGATCAAAAAATTGGGGGGAGGGACGGGTTTAAAACTATAAATAATTTGGTCTACGTGGCCCCTTAGTGCAATGAACCATAAAAAGACTGTGCTCCATTTGGAGAATTTTCACTTGAATTTGGCAGATGGAAAATTTTCAAATAAACCTGCTACTCCAGCAGACTTATTTCAGATAAGAGATCAATTTTGATGCACGCCTTCTCAAAAATCAACCGATCAACAACAGAGGGATTTTAGAACGGCTGTGTTGGATTTGGAGAATTTTCTCTTAAATTTCACACTTCGAAAATAAATTATTATGTTCAAAAATCCTATCTCAGTTCATCTCATCACACTAATTGTCTAGGGGTATCCCACTCTAAACTTTATTACTAGTATACATTAAATACGTTTAAATCTCTCATAGGTATTCTTAAGTATTTTTAAGTATTTTAAACTTGCATAATTTCCATCGTAGTTACCGGTTGAAAGTGTCGTTGGTTGTTGTTGCAAGTCCCGTCAATTTTATAGTTTTTGTCACTTATGAAATGAAATTAATTCCTGTTTTAATCTATTTTAATTGCAATAAAATCATGATAATTGGTATATGTATTTCAATTATGCTTATCTAGTAGTGTAAAAAATCGTGTTATTCAAATTACTGATGCTTTAGAGTAGAGAGATTCTAGAACCTCTCTAGTTTCGAGCAGACTTTCCAGTGCGCTATCATTAATTTTGACTCCTTTACAGAGCTGTTCCATATTCCTAAGAAAATAAGGAACAAGGAATAAGGTATGGAGAAGAAAAAAATTCTTGGCTATACCTATACAAGTCAACGATATCAGGGTTACGCTGCGCATTTCCTGTCGAACTACGACGATGAAACGAACCTTTTACAGTAGTAAATTGTGCTGATTGCATTACGCTTTTCGGGTTGTAAAACAGTGTTACTTTAGACTGGTGAAGTAGTTTAATTGACATTTTGCAGTCGATGTTTTCATTTGAACATAAATTTCCCAGTTTAAGTATGTGTAGACTAGACTAGACTAGACTAGACTAGAACATAAATTTCTCAGTTTAAGTAATTGGAACCACCAACGACAAGGTGCTGGTGATTGAGGATTTCAAAAACACTAGCATCGCTATCATTCTGATCCGTAGTGGCAAATAGATTATCCCGGTCGAATCGAAGCGGTAGTTAAAAATGAAAGGTACATTGGGGTAAATGAAAAGTGGTGGGACAAGTGGGTAAATGCCCAACCCATTACGGAACAAAGGATATTAAAAAAATGAATCCAGTTTAATAAATTTTAGTGGGTAGACAACAATTACCCACTTGTGCCACCAATTTATAACTTATACTGTTCGATCTTTCCAGAACGTGACATGTTAAAGAAGTTGATTGGTTTGTTGTTTTCATTCAAAAGTTTGAATAATCGATACTTATTTATTCACATGTCATGTGTTGAAATAAATTGATTAAATTTAAGTTTTACAATCGTTGCTGTTAGTTAATAGAATCAATGAAAAAATTAATTCTACTTCAACACATAGCAGATATGGCTTATCAATCATGTCCAGCTCTAATAATGGTTTAACAGATGAGAATTGACGGTTCCAAATCCGAGGAAATGTAGTTCATATTTACAACATGTTTACTATGTGCGCCATAATTCTGCGCATTTCGCCAAAATGTTGCAGTGTTTTACTGTTTTATCTTAATTTATATTTTTACCATGCACAAGCGGCTAATACCTACCATTGTGTTCAATCCAATTCAAATTATATACAATTTCAAATATTTTTTGAAATTTTCAAAACAGGCTCTTTACGGCAGAATAAACACATTCGGTGGGAAGCTACAAGATGAAACAGATGCCACAAGCTCGGCAACAAGTACAATGCGAATGGTTTGGAAAACCTTCACAACTTCTTGTTCAGATTCGATAGCCCTAAGAGTCTTAAGTAGTGTTACATGGCCTAATCATAACGGTCTAAAAGTACTTAATCTTATAACGCAACGATCGATAAAACCAAACTAACAACGAAGGGAAAGGTTCCATGATTGTCAATCTGACTTCTTCCTGTATCATGTCGAACAAATCATCCTAAATGCGCATCAAAGTGTGACATAATTAATAGTGCAGGTATAATGCGAAAATGATGGAATCGGTTTCTACATTGGAGAAATAATCAGCGGCTGTTTTTTCTGTTGACGACATTAATTTATAGGTGAATCATTTTTGCAATGATCTTCTCTTATTCCAAGACCATATCTTGATGCCTACAAGACAAAAGAAACATATAAAATAGCTGTTAAAGCTTAAAATATTAATACTGCAGTTTTCAAATATTCACACAAAATCCTTGACGACATCTGAAAAATAAACAACTAAAATGTGTTTAGCAACGGTGGTAACAACCTAATGCAAAATATAGGTTAAGTATTTTTAAGTATTTCCAGGTATCTTAGGTATTTGTAAAAACTTTCTGAGTATAACGCGAGAAATATAAAGTTTAGAGTGGGATGCCCCTAGCTAATTGTCATTGTTTGAGCATTGTATCGTTAAAAAGCGAAATTTATCTTTTCTTCCGTTATAGGCTAACTAAGAGATTGTTTCAACCTCTGGTGGTGAAAAGGGGAACCCTCAAAAGAGTGATAAGGGTGGAAATTTTCACCGTGAAGCATATGGGAAGTGGAAAATATTTTCACCTTTCCTGGTTAATTTATCCACCGCATGTGCTTGAAATCATGCACGTGGAATATTTTGTTTTCTGTATCGGGTTTGCAGTGATCCGGCTGGTGCATCCATATATTTTTGATGAGAAAAATTAAGATTGATTCAATTAACCCAGCGGTTATGATCTCGGTTATGATCTTCCGGATTTTTAATGTGTGGTTATATCCTCGGTTATATCAGCTGGAAATCAGTTCAAATATGAAGATATTCGAAAAATACGACCACTTCCGATGGAAATTTGCAAGTTGTACAATAAAATGTACATTGGTTTGAGTTTTGAAAATCGTCACTATTATGTAAGCAAATGGATTATATGACATTTCCTTTCGAAATCGGCTAGCGCACTCTACATTGATGGTGCATGAAAAGAGCCTATTATATTAACTAGAGTCGGTGTCGACTCGCCCGCTGTATGTGGGATGAGTCACGCCAAGAGAAAAACAGTTGAACTCGCATCACGGTTTTCGAAAGATTCCCTTTCTTTTAATTTGGCAACAGAGGACTTCTACATCAACTTCAAATGACTTCTAGCGAGAAAAAATAATAGCGGCTGTAGTAAATCATTATATCAGTGATTTTGTCAAATTATCTTAACAAAAATAGTAGAAATTCTCATTACTGATCATAACAAAACGTATCCCATGACAATTGAATGCTCACTGCGTGTTTATTATCATTAACAAATGGAAGCCTGATTCCCCTAAATTAAATTTGGAAAATACGATTCACTCCGACAACGCACTCGCTGCATACTTCCCTTCCAACTCGTAGGCATCGACATCGGACTGTAGTCAGTCCCGAATCGAGCTAATGCCCGAGCAAAAGAAAACCGAAAAACTGCTGAATAGCTTACGTCACACGGCCGATGTCAAACCTGTCAAACTCTGGGATGTGTGATGTGAAAACACAAAAGCGAAAAGAAAAGCCAAGGAAGAAAGTTTTTGCAGCAACACTACAGCAAAAGCAAATATCATTCTGGTGGTGGTGTTTTTTTCCTCGAATTTCACAGCAATTTTTGCATTTCGTCAGCAGTTTTTCATCGCTCGGATAAGAGTTCCTTCCGAAGCGCATCTTCCGAATAGTAACGACGCATTCCTTCGCACCGTTCAGTGCCAATCGGAACCGGAAGTGTGGAAACCCTACAACCAGCACAAAAGGGGGGCGTATTTTTTTTGGAAGCCCTAAGTCGTGCTTGTGTGTCATTGTTCGATTTTTCCTTCCTCTGTCGAAATCTATCTTCTCCGTTTTGAGGATTGAAGTGTGATTGATAAGAGAGAGAGTGCAAAAGAGGAAGCATAACAATCGTTCGTTGATAACGAAAGAACACCAAAACACAGCCATGGAGTACGAAAGTGTCGTGCTGGTGAAGCAGGAGGTGTTTGTGTACAAAATCCCACCGAGACAGAGCAACCGTGGCTATCGGGCCGCGGATTGGAACCTGGCGGAACCGACCTGGACCGGTCGCTTGCGTATGGTATCCAAGGGTAAAACGCTAGCCGTAAAACTGGAGGACAAGAACACCGGTGCTCTGTTTGCGAACTGCCCCATCGAGGCGTACCCGGGGGTGGCGATCGAGTCCGTGTCCGATAGCTCCCGGTACTTTGTGCTGCGGATACAGGACGATAACGGTTCGTTTGATGTATATTTTCTTTGGGGTGTGGGTTTTTGAAGACTTTCAAAGCCGTTTCAGGGAGAACCGCCTTCATCGGACTCGGGTTCGGAGACCGGTCCGATTCGTTCGACATGAACGTCGCCCTGCAGGACCACTTCAAGTGGGTCAAGAACGAGGAACAGATCGCCAAGGAAAAGGAGGAACCCCAGCAGCAGTTGGATCTGGGCTTCAAGGAGGGTGAAACGATCAAGATCAATATGAAGATTACGGTAAGGATGGCAGGGAGGGATTTATTTGGCTTTGTATTGTTGTCTCAAATTGAATTGCCATTTTAGAAAAAGGACGGCTCGGAAGGTGGTTACCGGAGCGGGGGAGCTAAGAAAGTCGGAGGACTAGGACTGTTGCCACCACCGCCGGGAGGAAACAAAATTGCACCACCACCGTCGGCTGCGTCTCCATCGCATCAACCCACTGCGGATGCGGCTGGTTCCGCAGGGCAGTCCGACTGGGGAGAGTTCACTTCGGCTGGGTAAGTTTTAGAATAGCAGCTCTGTCGTCCATTTAATTTGTAGGTTGCGTATTCTTCTCGGGATCTACCTGAGTGCTACTTGGAATTGTCAGATAAAATGAGGGGTTCGTAGATTTTCCTATGTTTCGAGGGGTGCATCGATTAGCTTGGCACCGAAGATAGTACCAGAGCTGAGCCAAACAGTTGAGCTCGTTTCTTCGGGACCTACTAGTCTTAGAGTTACCTCTATGGTACATCCGAACCTGCAAATGTTCGTGTAGTCTGGTTTCTTGCCGAACCAGAATTCGAAGGGGGTCTTTTCCAGTGATCGTGATGTCAAAAGATTCTGCATATGAACCGCCTTGTCAACTGCTTCTGCCCAAAAGTGATATCCCATCTTTACGTCGTGTAACATACATCGTGCCATTTCAACGATCGTCCGGTTTTTGCGTTCCGCAACTCCATTCTGTTGTGGTGTGCAGCTTGCGATGTACTGTGGGACAATCCCGTTCGTCCTGTTGAACTTCTCCAATCGTTGCGCCTTATATTCGCCGCCTTGGTCTGAGCGAATAACAACGGGCTTCCTTCCAAAACGATTGCATACCATGTCCATACTCCTCGATCTTGTCCGCTGCCTCGGACTTCTTCGTGAGGAAATAGACCACGGTGAACCGGCTGAAATCGTCGATCATCGTGAGAAAGTACATTGAACCTACTGGCGACGTCGTGTTCATCGCCTTCGTTGATTGTTTTCCACGCCCTTGACCAAATCTTCGCGTACCACATGTCCTAGCCTTCGGTGGCACACGTGGACACAGTCCGTGGGATGTTGTGCGGCGTGCATTCATTGTTGCTTGGCGATTTTCAAGTAGAACAATCCTCCAACTTTGCTTGCAACAGCTGCAACTGTTCCTCTGCACTTGATAACACTTCCTAACTACTTCAGCTCCCCACCAGGTTCGACTCTAGCTCAGGACCATAGAACACTTCCGACAAGATGACTTCCTGTTCCTTGCCTCGATCGTCGTAGCAAAACAGCCTGCCGGAACCAATCCCCTTCACGGGTGCCTCGTTTCCATCGGCCAAAGTGATGGATATTCCAAAACTGCTTCTCAGCTCGTCGAAAAACGTCCGGTCGGAGCACATGTGAGACGTTGCTCCCGAGACGATGATCCAAACCTTCGACGATTTTCGATCGCAACTATCGCAACTGGCCAGAGCGCTGCACTGGGTAATTTGGGAGGAGGAGATATTATCGTATGCCCAATCTACAAAAAGGGCGACAAGTTGGATTGCTGCAGCTACTGCGCGATCACACTGCTTAGCGCCGCCTACTCTCCCAAATTCTGTGCCGCCGCCTGTCACCATTTGCATGAGAGTTCCTGGGGAAATACCATGCGGAATTTATGGAAGCCCGTGCTTCTACGGACCAAATTTTCACGATTCGGCAGGTTCTGCAGGAATGCCGCGAATTCAACGTGCCCACACATCATTTGTTCATCGATTTCAAATCCGCATACGCAGATTCCCGGATAAACTGACGCGATTGGTCAAGGCGTTGTTCGAGTATCGGGGATACTCTCGAGTCCCTTTGAATCTCAAAGGGCATTACGGCAAGGTGATGGAAGGTGTGATAAGAAGAGCAGTGATAGACACGAGTGGCACGATCTTCAGGAAATGCATCCAGCTTCTTGGCTTCGCCGATGACATCGACATCTTGGCACGAAACTTTAAGACGATGGCGGAAACGTAAATCAGACTGAAGGAGGCTGAAGCTAGGCGGATTGGACTTGCCATCAAAGCATCAAAGACGAAATACATGAGAGGAAGAGGTTATAAGGAAGCCAGTGTTTACCTTCCACCCCGATTGACGTTGACGAAATCGAGGTGGTCGACGAGTTCGTGCATTTGGTCATCGATCGTATAGCTGATTGTGGATCATTCAAGTTACTTGACGCTCAACAAACTCAACGTTAACCACAAACAAAAGTCTTTCCATTCGCATAATGGACAATTAAATCTTCGAGTTAAACGTCAATGCATTCAGGATCGATTCTTCATACTTGATCTTTAGGAAAAGTGTCTACTCTGAAATCGAGTAAGTTGCTTCAATTTGAACAAAGCGCACCGAAACAATAGGTTGTATCGAGTAATAAAAACAGTATATAGTGCGAGATACAACGATACAACTGCTGCTGCTAACAGCTGAGAGCAAGCTGGCAGCTTGAATTTGCGTTTTTTTTTGTTGGCAATGAGGAAATCTTTAAAAGGCCATCGTGCCACCGCTTGATGACTGGGCACATAGTCGCGATGACATGGTATGTGAGATTCTTACCGCGCTAAAACCTCCTTGGACGCCTTGCCCTTTTCCCCCGGAACCACTTGTCGTATTACTTCGGAGAAGGCCGTGCATTACTCACCTCACTTTACCTCAGCTAATTGACGCTTCCAGTTCGCTGATCTTCCCTCCAATTCGTAAGTCATTTAGCTCCCAGCGTCGCGTTCTACTCGGTTAACCCCGGTGGTGGACTCAGCCTACTCTCTAGTTCTCTCGCTTCGGCTTTCACTTCGCACTTTTGTGAGCACATTACTACTTTCTAGCTGGTCCTCTCGCTATTTTCGCTGCAGCGCTCTGCTGACGGCGTTGAAGGTGCCCTCCTCTCGACACATTTCTTCGACGACATTCTCCGTGCTCCTCTCCTCTCGCACATCATCAAATCTAGGACATTCGAAGACCACGTGCTCTGGTGATTCTTCCACATTCCCGCACTCCGGACAGAAGGGTGACGTTGTGTGTCCGAACCGATGCAGGTACTTCCTGAAGCAGCCATGACCAGACAGGAACTGCGTCAAATGGAAGTTGACTTCTCCATGCTTCCTGTTCACCCAGGTCGAAAGAATCGGTATTAGCCTGTGTGTCCATCTACCGTTCCCTGCTGCATCCCACTCCTGCTGCCACTTAGCCATCGACACTGTTCTCACCATTTTTCGTTCTCCTCTGGTTTCTCTCGTCATATAGCACTCGTAGTCGTCCGCCAAGGTGATGCCGATTGGGATCATACCGGCGATAGCGCATACTGCCTCCATCGAAATGGTTCTGTACGCACTCACGACTCGCATGGCCATGAGCCGGAACGTACTGCTCAATTTCCTTTGGTTCAATCCAGGCTGGACCTCCGTACCTTAGTATCGATGAGGACACACTAGCCAGAAGACGCCTCTTGCTGCTGCTTGAACCAGAATTGTTCGGCATGATTCTGGCTATTGCGTTGATGGCCTTCGCCACCTTCTCGCAAGCATATTCGATGTGGCTGTTAAAGTTTAGCCGGTCGTCGATTATCACTCGCAGATACTTCAGCACGTGCTTCGAAACAATGGTGTGCTCTCCAACGGTGATTTCTGCCCGATGCACTGCTTTGCAGTTACTGACCAACATCACTTCTGTTTTGTGGTGGGCTATCTGCAGCTTCGCTCCTTGCATCCAGTTACCAAGCGTATCTATCGCCTCGGCCGCCAGCAGCTCCACTGCTTCCAGCGTCTCACCGGTTACCGTCAAGACGACATCGTCCGCAAAGCCAACGATCTCAACTCCTTTGGGCAGCTTGAGCGTCAGCACGCCATTTTACATTCCGTTCCACAGCGTGGGACCTAGAATGGAGCCTTGTGGACCTCCCGCCGTGATTCTAAGCGATTTCTGTCGCGTAGACCAAGACCCGGTTCTGGAAGTAACTACTTAGAATCCTGCAGAGGTAGTCTGGAACCCTCATTATATGGAGCGCCTTGGCGATGGCCTCCCAGCTGGCGCTATTGAATGCATTCTTCACATCAATCGTAATCACGGCGCAGTATCGATTTCCTCTCCGCTTCTTTTTGAAAGCTTTCTCGGCTCTGTCAATCACTGTCCGAATTGCATCCACCGTCGATCTTCCTTTACGAAATCCGAACTGCCTCTCCAACAATCCGTGTTCACTCTCCGTGCATTTCGTCAGCCTGTTCAGGATGATCCTCTCCAAGAGCTTTCCGACAGTATCCAGCAAGCATATTGGCCTATACGATGCAGGATCCCCCGGCGGTTTTCCGGGCTTCGGCAACAGCACAAGCTTTTGTACCTTCCACCTATCAGGGAACTGACCCTCGTCCAGACATTTCTGCAGCATCATCCTGAACAAGTTCGGGAAAGTCCTTCCACGATGACTTTCAGCTTGTTGGGACACATTTCAACCGGCATCGTTGGACCTCTGATCTTCGTCATCGCGACTCGGTGTGCGTTGACCAGGGGTTGGCATCAGCATCGCGGCACAGCTCCTTGAAACTATTTGACTTGCTCAGCTTTATCTTTCGTTTCAGTGCAGCCCTGGCCTCTCGGAACACCACCCTGCGCTCCTCTCTGTCTGCTTCCGTTCTTGCTCTATGAACGCACCTTCTGGCTAGAAGACAAGTGGCACGGAGAGTGCTAATTTCCTCGTTCCACCAGTAAGCTGGACGCCGCCTGTTCGTTGGCTCCAGTTTTCTCGGCATAGTTGTGTCACATGCCCTTGCTAATGATTCGGTCAACTCGTTCGCGCTTAGGCCCGGGACGCTGCTGTCTACCCTTAGAGCTTCGTTGAAGAGATCCTTATTGAATGCCTTCGTCTTCCCATATCGTATCTTCAAGTGCTCTTCGCAAGCGCCACATTTCGTAATTTGGCACACATGCAGTTATGTGACGCATTCTTCCTGTAAGCAAAATGTACTAAAATCCCTTCCCTATGTTTCTTCCCATTTCAGAGAAAAACCCCAAACGACGGCAACGACTCCTAGCCAAACGAACGCCAACTGGGTGCAGTTTTAAGTTTATGCGAATAAATTAACTCAAAATATTCTTAACAACAACAACAAAAAAGAAAACAGAAGAACTTATAACATGTAACAACAAACAAACAAACAAACAAACAAAAACCAACCCAGAACCCAACTACTAACCACATCCCCTATTGTTGTTGCCGTTGACTACTTACTACATGCTCCGTTTGTTTTTTTTTCTCTGTTAACAATACCACACTTGTTGATCAACATCAACGATCTCACGTAAACAAACGAACCCAAACCAAGCAAAAAAAAACCGGGAGGGAACGTTTGAATAGAGAACCAATCCACAATCCTAAAATAGTATTCATATACAATGTGCGCAAGGCTTCGTAGAAGGAAGAAGAGAAAAAAATCATTCATTGTGAGCAACCCATCTCAAATCTCAGTAAAATTTGACCATACATACCTATATCAAAAGCTGTATTTAAAACGAAAAAAAAACAACTATAAGTAAGAAGCTGTTTGAACATATTTAGGCAATAACTAAGCAGAAATTTACCCCGAGGAGTTGCGCAGTATTTGGGAAAAAAAAATGAATGTTATTACTCGAAAAATGAAAAAAAAACTGTTACGCATATTATCGTAGAAAGTAGGTAAAACTAGAAGGTTTAGTTTTTGATTTTCGTTTGCTGACGATCAATAGTGGAGATAACTGGGAAGACGACGAAGAAGAAAAATGGTTTCCTTATTGCAAAAAAAAAACCAAAACTGGATGCTAAAGTTTCATTTCAGCTATACACAACTTATAAAAACTGATATAGAAATTAACGTAAGTGTTGGCAAACAAACCGATATCTAATCCGTGTAGTTACAATATTGCAAACAAACCGGAAAACTGTGAACACTGGGAAGCAGACGAATGAATCTTGTAATATATTATTTTTTTGTGGGGTTATAGATTGATCATGGGACGCCGCAGAGACGACGACGGTATTTTGAGTTCCGTTGCGTACGGCTACTAAAAGGTTCGCTGAGTTAGTTCTTTTTTATGTATATTTAGCTTAATTGAAGTTTAGCAACATTAGAGTACGGGAAAAAAAAAAAGTACGGCGCGGAAAGTAATGTAAGAAGTACTATGAAAATGAATTGTCAATAAATTGTCTCGCAAATGTTCGTATATTGTCGAAGCTAGTTGCGGTCTTTCGTTGTTTAGAATAATGTCAAAAACGGCAGATCTGTATTATTGATTATGTTCTGTTGAAATATAGCGTTTTCTACGAATATTTAGACTTTCTCGAAGAAATGTGGAAGCTGGCAAAAACTTCTGTGGCTTTTATAACTCTTACCATTTCACCTTTTCGTAGACGTTTTCGATCGCAAACGAATGCATCAGCTGGTTTGTTATGTACCTATACATAATCAACTGGATGCATGGGAATCAAGCGTTATCTCAAGGTGGGAACGGTAAGAGTGAAATATGAGATCAAATAAATTAAAATCACTCTAGTTAAAATGGAGAAAAATTTCGCATCACCTAGTAGGTAACCTGAATAAAAAAAATAATACACCATGCAAACTGAATTTCAGTGGTATGCATGCTTTCCACTTAATATTTTAACCTTATCCTATCATACGAACTTGATACTTTGACTAACATAACGAAATTCTAAGAACACATGAAGCGCCATCTCTTGACAAAGACTCGTACTGGATCAAAATTTGATGTTTCTTCGAGAAAAGATGCCAATTTGTATATCTAACCTATGCAATTGAAATCTGCCGGTTGTATGACACCGATACTAATACTGCTTCTGCTTAGTTCTCTGGGCTATCAAAAAAACATGAACCAACAACAGAATAGAGAACACGTCCCTGAGTTTATGCAAAAGTACATAGCTTGCCACCATTCCATTATTGTCCTGCGGACCGACCCAACTCTCCCCGACGAGATCCAGATAGCAAAATGCGAAACCCTACATTGCGAATAGCTAATCAACACTCACCTATTAGAGCAGCAAGAATGGAAGTATTAGTACCCAATAGAGGTTCATCACCCTTTTCTTCACACGCAACCACACCCACAAACAGTAAGGTAGAAAATGGTCATAACAACTTAACACACACACAAACACAAACACCCAGTCTCTAGAGAGAAAATGACTAAAACACAAGTAAAAGTAAAATGGTGCATATAGAAACACAGACAAGTTTGCTGGACAACACGAATAGAACTACAAATGGTAGTACCTAGCAGCATCAGCGCGCGTGAGCAACAACACTCGGAAATAGAAGAAGGAAACCAACGTGAATCAGAGTTTACAGGAGAACCAGATAATATATATTAAACAAAACAAACAAAAAAAAACTAGACATAAAGAAAAGCATACTTATGTAGAGAAAAAAAAATGCAACTGCAACAAAAAACAGAAGCATTTGTTGAAATTCAATAGTAGAGAATAAACTATTATCGAAAGTAGACTCCCCCAACTCGCAGCATGGCTTTCTTCGAAATTCCACTAATGCACTAATTAAACGTAACAAATAGAATCATTTAACGCGGAAGAATAGTTTTTGATCTTTATTTGAAAAACAAATATGAAATACTATAAAATCTAAAATCTTATTGCCTAGGAAGTCTTTTGTTCCCTTTTTTTCTTTTTCGTCTATTTGCCCGTAAACCATATTTGTACAATACAGAAAAAAAGTAAGTAATACTAATCTACTAGTACATACTCGTGGGAAAAAAAATAAGTCGATCATCTCTTCCGCTCGCTACTATGTATCTATCTGCTATTTTCTATGCTTATTGAACAAGCCCAAGCGCCTCCTGGGTGGAGTGTTCTGGAAACTCGCGTGAAAGTAGATAAAACGACGAATATGGAATGGAGAGAAATAGGAGAAATGGGGTAAAGAATTTATTAGTTACATATTTTTTTAGGATCAGTCACACTGGAAAGCAAAATACTCGGACGTACTCTTTGACCACTATTTCTACATTCAGTTTAGTTAGATTCAAGCTCTGGGTTAGGTATTTTGGATGCATGTTTAGAAAGATAAAAAATAGTGTTAGGCCCCTGGCAGAGTGAATGTGCTAACCCACCAGGCTATCGCATTCACTCTGCCCAGGGATCTTGGACTTGAAAAAGGGCAAACACACTAAGAAGAAGAGGAGCCAACTGGCTTCTTTTTGTCTGTGACGTGTTCTTCTTCTCTCGCGGAAACAACCGTGCAAAAACTATTTCATTATGGGCGACGCAGTTGACTGCCAAAATGCAAGAAATTAGATTCCCTGTTGTAAAAATTCCGGCGTTTCTATACGTTCACTCGAGCAATCCAGGAGACTGGCAACCCCATATCACTCCTATACGTTTGACAGTAGGCAAGATCACGGGCCTTATTTAAATACGACCCGCCTGAAGTATACATGGTGGAAAGGGACGGAAAATCGTGTTATAAGCAGAAAGACAAGAGCAAATCTAGACCAACAACTGAAATAGGCGGAACAACCAAACGTAAACAATGGCTTTAAACACAAAATTCTCGAGAATTAAAACACTCCCACACAAACTAACAATGCCATTCTATAAAGGAAGTTTGCTCTATCAGATGATGGTATTAGATTGCTTGGATGTGCTTGGATTCTCGTGGAATTTTCGTTTAAAGTCATTGTTTACGTTTGGTTGTTCCGCCTATTTCAATTGTTGGTCTAGAAATGATAACATCAAATTCATGACCGCCAGCCAGGCCCCTGGACCAATCAGACGCTGGATAGCGTTTGACTCAAAAAACTACAAGAGACAGCTCTATGGGATTGTACGCAATGGTGACGTAGGACTACGTGGTCTTATATATAAATCTTATTTGTTAACTGCAGCAGGAGCTTGTGTTTTGTGTAGAAATAGGAATTTGAGCGAAGTACTCTCTGTTTATACTCTTTAGTATGACGCGATTGACATAGATGGCCCACAGCGACTTACGAAGAGCTACTGATTCCGATGAAAAGCGGTGCGGCTTCTTCCTCCTATGGATGCTCATGTGGGCTGCAGCACGCTGCTTGCAAGCAGCCTTTCGTTGTGTACCGGAGAACACCACCACCACCGGTGAGACCGGATGGAATTCAACTTTGAAATCTGTGGTAGGGAAATCGCTTTTCGCAGGCAATCGGTAATAATTTTAACTATCATAGAAACAGTTGCATATTCGTGCAATTTTCAATAGTGACATTTTGAAAAATGATAGTCTTAATTGAAAAAAAAAAATAAAAAATAAAAAAATTCCTATCGATTCCTGGCGTATTAAGAATTAAAATCCATCATCTCTGGATCAAAATAAGATCACTTTCATACCGCGACCGACTTTGGAGATTGAAATTGCAACCCCAATGTTGCCTTCAAGAACATTGTATGTTAGATTTAAACATATCTAGAGAGAGCTGGAATTAGGTGTAGCAGCTTTTGTAAACCATGACTTCTCTCTATGATTTTTAGGAATTCAAGGCACGCCCACGCAAACCAACATTACCGTCGGGTAGGGGAAGTCTTACCCTACCTGATGATGATGTTGATTTGCGTGGGCGAGCCTTGACTTTCAAGACATCATCGAAAGTAGTGATTGTTTACAAAAGCTACGCCCTAATTCTACTCTATCTTGATATGGGAACTGACATCCAATTGATGCCTTGGCAAATGTCAAAAAAATTATCTTTTAAAAATTTTAGGAGTTCCTAAAAATGACCGTTTTGTTGTGATGGTTGAGTATTGCTGAGCTATTAGGGTGTTAAACACACATGAGGCTGGTGAGCTGTATGTTGTTCGGAATGAGGGTGACGCGTTGGCATAGATGGCCCACATCGCCTCACGAAGAGCTACTGATTCCAATCAATAGCGGTGCGGCTTCTTCCTCCTTCTATGCATGCTCATGTGGGCTGCAGCTCACTGTTTGCAGGCAGCCTTTCGTTGTGTACTGGAGAACAATGATCAACGCCACGCGCCGAAAGCACTGCTTCTGCTGCTGATGCCGACGACCGAACACCACCACACACGGTGATTGGAACGGAATCCGATCAGTGGTTGAGGTCAGCCTTGATAGCTACCTGATTGCGGGGAGCCTTTCGTTGTGTACCAGAGAACAACACCACTCACCACGCGGTGATTGAATAAACACCATTTGGTGAGACCGGATGGAATTAAACTTTGAAATTTGTGTTAGGGAAATCGCTTTTCGCAGGCAATCGGTGATAATTTTAATCATCATAGAAACAGTTTCACATTCGTGTAATTTTCAATAGTAACATTTTGAAAAATGATCAGTTGCGACGATCTTTAATTTATCAGTAAGAAATTTCTGATCGATTGCTGATAAAATTATTGAAATTGGTCCAGGGGCAGCTGAGTTATTTACGTTCAAAATCTTTCAACACCCATATTCTTGTTTTCGTTCGAACCGTATTTTCCATACAAAAAAAGTTTTTTTGTATGGAAAATGCGGTTCGAACGAAAATAAGAATATGGGTGATAATTGTGTTACATGTTCCATTTTCGCTTTTCACAAAGTGTATCCCCAGATAGAAATCACAGACGTAGTCCTACGTCAAAATGCCCCCTTTTGTCTCCTCTTCCTCTTAGCAAAAACATAGCTGAGTCCTGCACCGCAAAAAATGACACGTCAACTAGCACGTCAATATAAAGTTTCTTGCTTTTGGTTTGCAATTATTGTCAACGACATAAAAATCAAAGGTAAAACACTTCACAAATTCATAGGTTTTTGTCATTTAGGGGAAATGACGGCTTCGGCATGCCAGACTATTTTCGGCAACCCAAATTGAAACACTATTTTCACTGGATTTTCTTACGAAAACACTTCGCTGAATGCATGCAAACGATTCTTTATGCTTTCAGCTTCAATTTGACGATATTTTTACCACTGAAAAAAAGCAATCTAGCAAGGTTTCCTTGAAATGAAACACACGCACTACAAATTGTAGCTGATTTCGAGTTGCCGATAATAGAACAGCAGATTTACATGCAGTTCAAATGGAACGGTTGCCGAAGAAAAACTGGTTGCCGACAATACTCGCTCTCACTAGAGAACATTGGAGCTTTGTAAAAGCGTTTCAAAACAGTTTTTGACAATTCTTTCGACTGAAATTGTTAGAGCAGCTGCCAGCAAAAGATTGTAAACAAACCAATACTGCATATATGTGCGTTCCTTAGAGAAAAAGGCTATAGAAAGAAGGTCGCTGCTTAGGTTGCCGAGAATACGTAAATTCCCCTATGTTATATATTCAGAACCTTCACGTTTCTTGTGCAAGAACAGCAGTATCCCACAGAAGTGATAGGGTTCTGTACTGCTGTGCTGTACCCAAGTTGTCTAGAACATCTCTCACCGTAAAACATATTAAATTATATTTACATTTGCCTAAACAGCCGGGATGAATCACCAATTCAGATAAAGTAGAGAAGGTAGGTCAGTTACGAACGAATAGTATTGCAAAAGTGCATACGGTATGTTTTGCTGACTTTCCTCTTTTACCTACTGGCGGTCGTTCGTTCCACGGCGAGTAAAGAATCATATTTCAAAACAACGTTGCGTACCGAAGGTAGTTTATTATTATCGTTTAATATTATCAAATATTGTCACCGCCGTCCCAGGCGTTTCTATCCATCATAGAGAATCGATTTTGTAAAATTGCAAACATCATCATTAATTAGCTATAAAGAGTATCTGAACAATGAATTAAACAGAGTCTTTCGACAACCATCGAGGCGTGACTTTCAATGTGCTCCGAAAGGACACCACATTCCGAAACCTCAAAGATTCCCAGTGCTCTGGCCCGGACTCGTTCCGGCACCCAGATACCACTTACTCGATGACAACCTAGTCCGTTAAAATTATGCAAACCGGACATAGTTTATGGCGACCGTTTGGCCAGTTGTGTGAAAAATTTTCCCAACTGTGAACCTGAGTAGCCCGCGAGTCAGACCGCGTACAAAGTCAAAAAAGTGCCGCGTAAAAGTATATGTGAATTTCGATCATCGTGCGACGAATGGAAGCAAGCGCAAATAAACTGGAAGTGCTACGAACAGTAATCGGTGTGATTGAAGAAAAGTAAATTTAACAGTTTGTCGAAACACAGTGCAAAGAAGAAACATGGATTTTTACGCTACCAAAGTGACAGTGGTGTGTGCCAATACAGGGGCCATAGTCACCTACTACACACTAGAGTATGTGCAAAACTAATGATAGAAGAAAATCGGCTGAGAGAAATTCACCACGAATAAAGAACTAGAGAAACCAACTTTTTTTTTGCGTGTGTGACATAACAACAATGTGTAAAGGTGGAAAAATGGCCACGGTGAACAACTTAAAATTGACGTTGAAAACTTTAAAAAACCGCGAAAAATAACAATAAA